TCCGCTCATCATTGGGTGGGTTCAGACCATCAAGTTTTTGGATCTTGGCCATATGCTTACCACTTGCCCAGCCAGGAACACCTAAAGAAACACTAATGAAGACTTAACTTCCAATAGTTCTTTTCAAATTCTTCATGCAAATCTGTGTCCTATTTGTTTCATTTCATCTGCCTCCTAAGAACTCAAAAGGGTTAGGGGTTGGGACTGCCGAAGTTGTACGTAGAGGTCTGCCTCTGCAAGGAGGAGGCTGATGCCTATGGTTCCATCATTTGGTGAGGGTCAAAAGAATTGGGGTTTCTGAGAGAGATTATTAACCACACCCTACAGGTTCTGGATATAATGAGAAATACACAGGGTTTCACATGAAATATAAAAACTAAACACAGCATTGTTATTGTTGGGTACCATCAAGTCAATTCTAGCTCATGATAGCCCCATAGGGTTTTCTTGGCTTCTTGTTGTTGTTGTTGTGAAGTGCCGTCAAGTTGGTTCCAACCCATAGCGACCCTGTATAGGGTTTCCGAGGAGCAGCTAGTGAGCTTGAACCACCGACCTTGCAGTTCAAATAGCTTTGCAGTCTGGCGCATGAACCCACAGCGCCACACCAGGACTCTGACTCTCTGTCTCTCTGTCTCTCTGTCTCTCTGTCTCTCTGTCTCTCTCTCTCTCTCTCTCTCTCTCTATATATATATATATATATATATAAAGTGGAGGAGGGTTGGAGAAGAAGAGGAAGCTCCCCAGCGAGATGGACTGGCACAGTGGTAGCAGCAATGATGGAGAGGCTAGTGCAGGACCGGGAAGTGTGAGCATTAGTCGGTACCAACTCAGTGATGGCACCTAACAACAACAACTAATTTTAAATATCATTGAACAATTATTCAATTCTTAGCACTCCCCACAACTTACAAAACAAAGCATTTGTTCATTTCTGTTACCTGCCTGGCCCACAAAAGCATTTGAATCTGTGGTTCAGGTAAGAGAACTTGCCTCTTCTGACCACATTCATTCCTAAATATGAGCAGGTAACCTTGTCAAAGGTGCCAGAAGGCCACTTCTCTAGGAACACGGGTCAGATGGGCCTCTGCTGGGACCCAAGACCGACTGAGCTGAGATGGCCAGGCCATTTCAACCAAACCTGATGACCCCAGGCCCAGAAGGAGACACAAGTGGATTTCTTCTGAGTCCTCACCACATGTAGGACCTATAGCCAATGTCCCCCTTGCCTCACCCTCACCTCAAGCTGGACTTCAGCCCAGGACTTAGAGCTGTTTTCTGGTAGGAAAGGACATGCAATAACCTGATAGCATCAAATTACAACCAAGCTGTGGATACCAAACGCTACAGAATGTTTCCTCATCACCCAGGGGGAGAGAGGTGGAAGGGGGGAGGGTGGGTGGGCGGGGAGTTCTGCTCTTCAAATAATGCCAGAAAAGATTTTCCAGACAGGGGAGCCTCAGCTAGGGGGAGAACAAGGTGTTGTTTTAAGTCTGGGTGGGAACTGGGTCTGGGATGGGGTTTGGGATGGGGAAGAGAGTCAGGCCCCCTCGCCCATGCCTCAGGCCAAGCAGAGCATGCTCACTCCACATGGGGTGAAAACAGAGCTCCAGGAGACACTGCCTCATCCCATCAGCTGAGCCAGGCAGCTGGGCCAGGAAAGGGAAGGGGAGACAGGAGGGGGCCTGGGGCCTCAGGGAGATAGAAACAGAGTTCCAGGTACTGTTTGTCCTGCCCCGTTGTGAAAACAGTGGGTGAGGAGGAGCTGGGGGTCCAGAGAGACCCCAACCCCCTTAACTCGCCTGCGCCCCAGTCTGGGCCTGGTTTCCCTTCCCTCAGCAGTGTGTCAGGCACAGAGGACTCTCACAGGGAACCTCTGTGGAGACGGAGGAGGGCAAGTGCTTACTCTGAGGCAAAAGGCCTTTCAGGCTAAGCTCACCCTCAGACACTCCAGGAAAAAAAGAGACTGGCAGCCAGCCCCACCCCACAGGGACCACGTCAAGTCACAACATTGGTGTGACATCCCGTCCTCAAAGGTGCACAAGCATAGGACGGCTGCAACCCTGCGTCAGAGCAACTCGACAGCATTTAACAACGACAACATGTGGGAGACTCAGGGTGGATTCCCGGCCAGCGTGCCAATGTGCAGCCACCCCGTCTGTCAGTGGAGGGCCTGCAGGTTACTAGGAAGCTGAATGGTTTCAGGGGAGCTCCCAGTATCAGACAAACCTGGTGATCATCCCCAAATCAGCCAATGAAAACCCTATGGATAGCAAAACCAACAATCCTGTCCCCCCAAAACCCCACATTGTCATGGAATCAGCTCTTCTTCAGGGCATTCTCTGGTCCCCTGCCAGTCCTTCCCATCCTGGGTCATGCCCCTTTAGTTTCCTTTAGGAGTAAACACTGGCTTTATTTGTCCTACTAGAGGCCAAATGCAAGACTAAATCCTGGACTCTCACCCAGACAGCTAACAGAAAGCTCAGGCCAGCACCAGCTCCCAAGCCCAGTAAGTAGCTGACTGGAGAGTCAAGTTGATTCTGCACCTCCAAAGCCATTCGATCTTTCCGCCTTCTTTAAAGAATTAAATAGCACAGATGTCATTTTGAGGACTCAAGTGTACCCGACTCAAGCCATGGTATTGTCAATCATCTTCTACGCTTGCGTAAGCTGGACAAAAGAAGAACTGATGGCTTTGAATTGTGGTATTGTCGAAGAACATTAAACATTGACCGAAGAATGAACAGCTCAGTCTTGGAAGACGTACAGCCAGAATGTTCCTTCGAAATGAGGCTGATGAGACTTTGTCTCTCATACTCTGGACATATTGTCAGGAAGGACCAGTCCCTGGAGAAGGACAGCATGCTTGATAAAATGGAAGGTCAGTGAAAAAGAGGAAGACCCCCAACAACGTGGATCAACAAAGTGGCTGCAGTAATGAGCTCAAGCGTACCATTTGTGAGGTTAGCCTAGGACCGGGCAGTGTTTTGTTCTGTTGTGCATAGGGTCGCTATGAGTTAGAACCGACTCGATGGCACCTAACAACATCCACCAGGCAAAAAAGATCTTTGGTGGTACAAAAACTTAAGTGCTTGACAACTAACCAAAAAGTTGGTGGTTCAAACCCACTCAGAGGCACCTCAGTAGACAGGCCTCATAAGCCTTTAAAAGAAAGGTCACAGCCTTGACAACACTGTGGAGCAGCTCCGCTCTGTACACACAGGGCCACCATGAGCCAGAACCGGCTCCACAACAACTAGTAACAACAGTGCAAAAAAATACTTCCAGGGCTCACTGGCTTTCTCCAGGCTTTCGTGGCCCACAGGCATCTGACACATCTCCACCACCTCCAAGCTCACCACATCCAGGACCTACAGCCAACATCCCCTCGTGCCTGGATTCCTCCCCCAGCAGCACCTCTGCCTTTCCTCCACCCCATCCCCTAGCATCTTCTCCTGACCCAACGCTCCCCAGAATCAGAACAGAAACCTCTGTATTCTTGAACCAAAGGAAATGAAGTCATTTAGAGAGAGAGAGAGAGAAGCACCAACCCCCCTAAGAGATGAAGACACCAGCCCACGGCACCCAGTTCTCCTGACTGCCGGACATAAACCATGGAGTGCCTGAAGCTGGTCACGTGTAAAGTTCTCCAGGGGGCAGGCCTAAGGGACTCCAGGTTCAACCCTGAAGGACCAACATCTCCTCTTCACCACCATGCTATGGGTCAGAATCTACTCGATGGCACTTAACAACAACAAAAACAACCAGTCACAATGTGCAAGAATGTTCCAGTTTCTAGGTAGCTGCAAATATTCTGCCAAACTCGCTTGCAAAAGGGAGTACGTTTCTGATAGCACACAGCTGGGGGTCAGAGTTCAGAGAGGCTGAGCAGCAGGGAAAACTCAGGCCCAGATTTCAAAATCCATCACAGACGTTCATCAGAAAGGGGTAACCAATAGTGAAACCCACCTAGGAGTCCCTTAGATACAGGCTCCATCTAAAATATTTATTTTAATGTTTTATTGAAACAAATAATACCAGTTCATTGTCAGGAGATAAAAAGTAGAAAACTCACCCCAAACCCATCCCTCCCATCCCCAGAGGCAATTGCTACTCAACTTTGTTACCTTTTGTTGTCTCATTTAAGATATTGTCTGAGAATGCTTATTTTTCACAAAATACATCCTACCCTTCTGTATCTGCTTTTCCACTGATAAGTCTTCCTCCACCAGTAAATACGTCTCATTTGAATGGCTCCTCAGAATCCCTTTGAATGGATAAATTCTACTTGGTTTAAGCAGTCCTCGCTCACTGGACACCAAGGTTGTAGTCAATTATTTTCAAAATCTAAGCCTACAGTGTAAACAACCTTTTACAGCACTTGACTGGTGTTTTCTTAAGACTTAACACTTAGAAGGGAAATTAATGCATCAGCCCTGTGGTCCATGCTAGCAATTTGCCCTTGTCTCCCTATGGTGGCTCTGAAGGAGACATGGTGGCGCAATGGTTAAGCACTCCGCTGTCGACCTAAAAGTTGGCAGTCTGAAGGGACCCAGTGGCTCGGCAGGAGAAAGACCTGGCTTCTATAATGGTGACAGCTTAGTCACACCTACCAGGTAGTTCTATTCGATTACATGGGGTCACCATGCTCTTTCAGAATTGAGGTCTTTGTGGGGAAAATGTCCCAGAGCAGGTCAGAGCCAAGCTGGGGGCTGAACGTCAGAGAGAGGCAGAGGAAGCTATAGTGCATCGACTTCAACTTTGGCAGAAGGTCTGGCTTGATCCTGACAAGCTGTGTGACCACAGGCAAGTTCCTGAACCTCTCTGAGCATCTACTGCCCACCTTGCACTATTGTAGGAGTGAGCCACGTACATGTAAAACACTGTGCACAGGTGAGCACTACATATTTTTCCAATATATGGAATGATAGAAGACTCCCATGCCCCAGCCTGGGTTCAGCACTCACAATGGGAGACCCCTGAGCCTCAGTGGAGACCCTCACCTTGGCGAGTTTGCCACAGTCCAGTGAAGGGACCCATGCTTCCTGCCAGCTCACACTTCTGAGCCCACGGACCGTTGTCACCTGAAACACACAAAGAAACACCGCATCATTAACAGGCTGCTGGTTCACCCACTTTCCCTCTGGACCCTTATTCCTGAGTACAAGGAGGCTGCTTAGAAGGACTTGTTATAGCAAATATCACCTCTCCTTTTGAGGGACTACCCTATATCTGTGGACTTCCCCTGCTCCAAGCCAGCCCTGTCTGCAGTCTCTCGCCTTCTGTTCCTTTGCTTTTTTAGGCAGTTTTTGCAATCCTGTTACAACTGTCATCATAATCACCCAGTGACTATATTTACTGAGCACCTACTATACACCCAGTGCCTCACTTACACCATCTTCACAATCCCCTAAAATGCTACAAAGCAGATTTCATTAGAGCTCTAGCTTACATATCAGAAAACATGGGTTCAGTAAGTTAGAGCCAGGCTTTCTACTTCAAGAGGTCAAGTACCTTTCCCAACAGCAGAGTAAGAGTTCAAACCCAGCGTTCTATGTGACCTGAACTATTGCCCTCTACTCAGACATGGGCCCGAGATCCACTGTGCACACATGAGCCCTTTGAAAATTAGTTGTCGTCTAGTCAACACTGACTCCTGGGGACCCCAGGTGTGTCAGAGCAGCACTGTGCTCTTTATGGTTTGCAGTGACTGACTTTTCTGAAATAGTTTGCCAGGACTTTCTTCTGAGCTACCTCTGGGTAGAGTCAAACCTCCATGTGTCAGCTAGCAGCCAAGCATGTAAACCGTAGAGTCCTTTGAAGAGAGACACTGGTTCAGTTCCACAAAGGCCACTTGGCCAGGAGATGGGACTAGTACCTGGGATGGGAGGATGGTAAAGAAGGCATCTGCCAACTTGAAACGACCACGTAGTCTCTCAAAGTCAGTCACTCATTAGCAATAAAAGCAAAACCTGTCCATAGACAACGAGCCAGGAAGGAGTCTGCTCTCTGTGCAAACCTTCCTAGGGGCTCAGCCTTGGAGGCCCCAGTGGGCAGATGCTCAGGATTCACTCCAGTAAATACTAATGGGACCCCAAGTCCAAAGCAAGTCCCCTGCCCAGTTAAAGGCTATTGGTTGACCAGATGCTCATCTTGGGAGGCATATGCAAAGTTACCCATCAGATTATAACTAGGCTGCTGGCTTCACTGCTTTACCCATAAACCACAGTAATGTGTTTTCTTTTGCTGTGCGGTCCACTTGGTCCTTGATCTGGCCCACCACACTGTCCATCTCCTGGAGACTTGCAGCATACAGCTTTCTAGCGGGCAGGTCAGCTGATGGCCTCGTCACAGATAAGGGCACGTGCATGTGGGCCAGGCCCACGTAGAGCAGGAAGGGTCTTCCGATGGCGCTGGAATGAGAGGGTCAAGAGGTAACTCAGTGCAAGGCTTTCAGATTTGTCCAGTACCCCCGGGGAGACCCCAACACCCTCCCATCCACAGTCACCCGACAGATCAGAACATATACACTTATGTACAGTGCCTCCCCAAATAAGGAAAGAATCTGGTTAGCCAGTTAAGAATGATAGCAGTAGTAACAATAATCCTTTTCCCCGCAGTCCTGGACTCCTAACCACCCCAGCTGCTCCTCACAAACCCTGTACAGATCGCTATGAATCAGAACCGACTCGATGACACTAAACACTAACAACACTGACTGAAGGGAGCCTTGGTGGAAAAACAGTTAAGCACTCAGCTGCTAACCAGAAGGTTGGTGGTTTGAACCCACCCTGCTGCTCCTGTCTGTAAAAATAACAGCTTAGAAAACAGGTCGCTGTAAGTCAGAATCAACTTGACAGCAAGTAACAACACAACATTTACTGTTATTGTTAAGTGCCGTCGAGTTGGTTCCAACTCATAGCAACCCTGTATAGGGTTTCCAAGGAGCCACTGGTGAGTCTGAACCACCAACCCTGCAGTTCAAACTGACTCTTTGGTGGAGTCATTATCCTATGGCATCAAACCAAGATTCCCTTATTAAACATGTTGTGTTAGTTAATCCTGATAATACCCCTTGTTCCATGCTTCAGATGAAAAATCAAGGTCTAGTTCACTCTGTTAGAGTAGAACTGCCCCGTGGCTTTCCCAAGATTGTCAATGTTTAAGGAAGCAGACTGCCTTATCTGGTAGATTTGAACCCCCGAACTTTCAGCTGGCAGCCGACCGCTTTAATCACTGTGCCACCAGGGGTCAGCTGCTGAGAGGGACGTAAGAATTTGCTGCATTTATGCACTTAGAAAATAACAAAGCAAAGCCCCTGCTCTTAACTGCTGTCCTCTGTAAAGTCAAAAGCAAATACATTTTATCCAGGTTTACATTTAACCCAGCACATCCATTCGCAGCCTCATCTCTGTTGAAAAGATGAATTTTGGGAATTCCAAGGAGAAATGTGAGCTCCAGAGAACATGTCAATCAAGTCTATGTTAGAGGTCCAGGGACCAGGCCAATTCTTCCTAATCCTAAAAATTCCACAAAGGCCCAGAATAAAGGGTTTGGAGGGAACCAGTCGCCTTCAAAAGCAAAGCCCCAGGCCCTTATCATCACTCAGAAAACTTTCGGTCTGAAGCCTAGTAACAGGACCAAAGGCCACAGGCCACACCCCTGGACAGAGTAAGTGTGGTGGGAGGTCTCAGTTAAATTGAACACAGAGAGGGGAATAAAGCACAGATCTTTTTATACCATTTAACTCAAAGATGAAGTCCCTGGGTAGTGCAAAAGCCACTCAACAGCTAACCAATAGGTTGGAGGTTGGCGTTCACCGAGCGGTCCTTGGAGAAAGATCTGGCAATCGAGTTCTGAAAAATCAGCTATTGGAAACCCTATGGAGCGCAGTTCTACTCTGACACATGAGTCACTGTGAGTCGAGTTTTTTCTTGATAACTCAGAGATTGGACTTTCAAATTGACCCAAGCATGCTCGGTAGAGGGCTTCCTGACTGGCCCTGGGCCTGAACTCAGTACATATATCCCAAGACGGGACCTCTGCCTGCCCCAATCTTCACCAGCAGCTCCTCCACACAGTTTATAGAGCTGTGTTATACAATGCCATCGCACCAGTCACCTGCGCTATTTAAATTCAAAGTAACCAAAATAAAATAAAAAGAAGTTTAAAAAGTCAGCGTCCCAAGTGCCCTGGTCCCATTTCAAATGTCCTGCAGCCACGTGGTTCGTGGCGACCATTCTGGTGAGCGCAGGTAGAGAACATTTCCATCACCACAGAAGGTTCTGTCAACAGTACTGCGTCAGGGTTCCTTCTCCCCAGGCTGCTGGCACACAGTTGTGTAGGATGTGCCCTGCACCAACATGGGGAAGTGAATGAGGGCTTACTGGCGTGACGCTGCAGGACGATGCACTAGACTGAAAGGTTGGTTTGAATCACAAGGTCCGCAGTTCAAACCTACCAGCTGCTTCAGGGTCGCTATGAGTTGGCAATGACTTAATGGCACTAACGGCAACAATTCCAGCCACATTGCACAGGCTAAACTGGTCACTCTGGGAGAGGTCAGTGCCCACCTTCAGAAAGGTCACTTTCAAGGATCCCTGATAGAGCTCTGTGGTTTGAATCCACTCAATGCCTCCTGGGGAGAAAGACGTGAAAATTTGCTTCCAGAAAGATTGTACTCCTAAAATAACAAATAAACCCATTGCTAGTGAGTTGATTTCAACTCATAATGACCCCACAGAACAAAGTAGACCTGCCCCCATAGGGTTCCCAAGAATGTAATGTTTACAGAAGCATACTGCCACATCTTTCTCTTGCAGAGGGGTTAATAGGTTCAAACCAGCAATCTTCCAGTTAGCAGGGGAGCACTTTAACCATTTTTTCAGTAAAGATTGTTGCTCAAGTTAAGTGTTTCCAAGTCAGTTCTGCTTCATAACAACCCTGTATAGGGTTTCTGAGGAGCGGCTGGTGAACTTGAACCACCGACCTTGCAGTTCAAACCAACCTTGCAGTCCAGCGCATTAACCCACAGCACCACACTGTTCTGTCACATAGGGTCATTCTGAGTTGAAAATCAACTCTACATTCCCCAACAACCACAGCTCCCTACTGCTGTTAGTATGTTGGAGCTGGCTCAAATTTTGCAAGTTGTGTAAGCCACCTGTTGCTGTTGTTCTTGTTATATGCCATCAAGTCAGTTCCAACTCACAACAACCAACAGAATGAAATACTGCCCGTCCTGCACCATCCTCCTGTCTTTCACTGTACCCCTGCATAGGTTTGAACTGCCAACTTTAGCAGTTTGAAATCAGTTTCATTTACATCAAATGCAATAAAAACACTGTAACCTGGCAACCACTCCCCATGGAAATTCAGTCATTGAACTCAGTACTATATATGGGTCATCTTATCGCCCATCCTTTGTCTCATCTCTCACATCCAGCCCTCCAACCACCGGCACCTACACATGGTTTCTCATACTCCCTGTCATGTCCACGGCAGAAGGCTGGAAGGGAGAGAGATGAGAGAGACAGCAGAGTGTTTGAGTCCCTGCTCAGGCTCCTAAGACCTGCATCCTAACCCCAGGGCTGTGGGTTTGTGTTTAACTTCATGGCTGGGGGATTCTGGACAATCACCTGTCATCTGTAAAGTGGGGATCATTATACCTCCCCACAGGGTTGTACTGTTGCTATTGTTAGGTGTTGTCGAGTCAGTTCTGAGTCTTAGCGAATCTACGCACAACAGAACAAAACACTGCCCAGTTCTGCATCACTCCCACAATCCTTTGAACCCACTGGTGCAGGCACTGTGTAAGCCCATTTTACTGAAGGTCTTCCTGTTGTCCACTGACCCTCTACTTTACCAAGCATAATGTCTTTCTCCAGGGACTGGTCCCGCCTGATAACACAACCAAAGTGTATACAGAAGGTCTCACCATTCTTCCTTCTAAGGAGTATTATTGTGTCTATACTTCTAAAACAGACTTGTTTGTTCTTCTGGCAGTCCACAGTGCTCATAGTAAATATTTAAGAAAATAGCAACTCGATGAGAGACAGATGAGGCTGTCTGCTCCCATAAATATTAACAGGCTCAGAAACCCTATGTAGGTTCACTGTAAGTCAGAATTAACCCAACAGCAGTGGGGCAGGTTAGGGTTATTGTTGTCAAGTCATTTCTGACCCATAGTGACCCTGTGTAGGGTTTCTAAGGAGCAGCTGGTGAGCTTGAACCACCAACCTTGCAGTTCAAACTGACTTTGCAGTCTGGCTCATTAACCCACAACACCACATCAGGTAGCCTTTTATTAATTTGTTGTTAAGTGCCGTCGAATCGATTCTGACCCTTAGTGACCCTGTACAGGGTTTCCGAGGCTGTAAATCTTTACGAGAGCAGAATGCCTCATTTTTCACCTGCGGAACAGCTGGTAGTTTCAAACTGCTGACCTTGCGGTTCACAGCCCGATTCATAACCACTACGCTACCAAAGCTCCTTTATTAATAACGGGCCACAAACACATTAGCAGTGCTTTGCCACCTGGGGGGTGGGAGTATGCCTGCTTCCTCAAATCCTGATACTAGACTACAGATTACTTCCGAGGGTCATCGGCCCCCCCAGGCCACCCCTTCATTATTCCATTTCCTCAGGCTCAGTGGAAAACAAAGGGGTGAGGTTGGGGGCTGGTGTGTGTGTATGTGTGTTTAAAATGCAGACTACAAGACACAGAACTCAAACTCATTGCCATCAAGTTGGTTCCAACACAGAGCGACCCCACAGCACGGAGCAGAACTGCCCCACTGGGTTTCCAAGGCTGCAATCTCTATGGGAGCAAACTGATATGTCGTCCTCCCTCGGAGCAGCTTGCGGGTTCAAACTTCGGACTTTACGTTTTGTAGCTGAGCACTTAACCACTGTACCACCAGGGTCTCTTGATAACAAGCTAGTATAATTCCAATTTTCTTGAAAGATATGTTTATGCATCTGCATAGAAGAAACTAGAACCTATTCGATCTATGAAAGGGGTTATCTGTGGGGCATGGGGTTTAGTCTGTTTGCTTATCTCTGTTTTCACAGATTTCTAATGGGAACAAGCATGTAGCACAAGTGGAGCGAGAAATAGAGAAGCACTTGTAACAAGGAAGATGCTGGAGGGAACATTCCAGGAACAAGAGGGCCGGTTGGGCATGGAGATGCACTTAAAGATTAAGACCGGGACCGCCAATCCTGGAGAAAACCAGAGGGTCTACAACAAAACCTCGAGGAACACCACTTCTCTGGAAGGGTTGGCAACCAACGCTAGGCTGGAGAGACCCAGGCCTGCAGGAGAAGCAGACCCTCGAGCAGGTGGCACCGGGTACCTGGTCCCCGCAGCTCCTGGCCCTCTGGCTACCCTGCAGTTGAATGAACAAAGGGC